AGAAGACCAGGTTATGTTAGATAAACCAGGGAAGGCAATATTTAACTCATATTTTGGGAATATTGCCGATTAGTTCTGAAAGAAGTATATAAAATACTGCATGTTGTGGAATCTTTGCTTTGAACTGGAGAGAACAGAAATTCAGCTGAAAGAGTAAGAGTGTGGCTATAAATCAAATTTGGAACATCCCTCAGTGTTTATTTAGAGCTGTATGTAAGAGGCTGGATATAGGGGATGGGTGGTGGGAGGTAGGGAAAGGTAGACTTCTGGGTAAAGATTTTACCTGTCCTTTGGTGATCCTTTAGATAGAGTACAGTACTGACATATCAGGTTAAAAAATTACATACTACCTTATTCCAAAAAGGTTTAGGGTGAAGGGAAAGTAAGTGTTGAAAAGTTGGAAGAGTGAGGTTAGTATATAAAATGCATGTCATGAAACTCTATATACTCACTACCTGTTTGTCTAAAATGTGTCTATTCTTCTTTTAGCAGCCAATGAGGAAGGAGATATAATAAGTTATTACATTTATGATATAAACATAGTATGTTTTACAGAACACACCATCAAAGTAGTGATGAAGCACTCAACTAGTATTGATACTGAGAACAGAGACATATTTCTCCTGTGGGGTTTTATGAAGAGAACACTTCATAAAAAGTTAACTAATTATAATGTCCTTGACTTCCTCAAACTGTAGTTTTTGCACCTGTACAAGGGGGATAGGAGCAGGATTGCATGAGGTGGTAGATATAAAACACCTTGCAGTGCCTGGCATGCTTGTAAGCATTCACTAAATAGTTGCTATCATCTGTATGTACAGTAAACACAGCAACGTGTTTCCCAGGAAGGAGCTAATAGATCTGTCTTACATATAGAGGCATATGTTGTTAACCATCCACGCAGCTATAGAATTTGTAGTTTGGCTGATTTAAAATCCTTTTCTGGCTTGAAGGTTTTCATACTTCAAAGTGTTAAATCATCCTTGGTAGCAAAATGTGTATTTGTGAAAGCCACCTTAATTTGAATGGCTCCAGAGTTACTAAGTGTAAGTTTTCTATTTGCCAGAAAACATTATAGCAACTATGAGAAGTATGAAGTTAGGTTAGAAATATTTCAGGAATTGGGATAATTTAGCATCATAGTACTTCCTACTTGCAACTGGGGTGGAGCATGTAAGGATGGGAAGAAACAAGAATCACGTAGTGATCATTTCTGACATTCAGAGATACCCAGGAAAGCCATGTTTTCTTTCCAGTAGTACTGGCTGTGGTATGGATTGGGAGATATTCCCAAGATATTTAGAGTTTGTTGGGAACTTGCACCATCTGTCAGAGAAAGGCATGCAGGGTATTTATTTGAACACATGATACTGAAGCCACTGCCAAATCAAGGACTGAATACTCTTCGACTGCACACCTAAATGAACACTGTCAAGTATAGATTCCAGTAGTTTTACTTCATGAAGTTTCAGTAGCAAGAATGTAGCATTTATTTTGATATAGTTTAAAACAATCACTTCTTACTTATACATTATAGCTCTTAAAATTTTTTCCACACTTCCTTTTTACATTATCTTCGGAAGCAGTATTTCCTGAGTTTTCTAGCAGAGAATTTTTTTTTTAGCCTAAAAAGTTCTATATAAGAAGCAGGTAACTATCCCTCTTTCTTTAATGGTCTTACCGTTTTGTAGTCCCTTGCTGGGTTGGAAAGCTGGTCTGTCAAGTTTCTCCTTTTCATATTACACGCAAAACAATACTATACCCTCAACTTTGTGACTTCCCTAAGAGCTTGCAGTCATTTTATGAGTTATAATTTTAAAAATAGTCATCAGTCTTCATGACATATCCCTGAAACAGATAAAGAGATTTTAATGAAAATAAATACTGAGATCCACATAGGATATTCTCATCAATCATAGCGTATTTTCAACAGTAATGCTGCTTCTATTGATCATGATGACAGGTATTCTGTGGGGGCAGTGAGAAAGCTTCCATTGCGGCTCATTTTACTTTTGGTATTTTGGCTACTTGGCACATATCGCTTATGAAGTATTTGATTGTCCCTTTGAGACAGCATGTCTATATTACGTTATCCACCAAAGCAAGGCTATCTTGCTCTCTTCTCATAGGCAAGGAAGCTGAAGTGAGAGAGGTTGAGAAGTAACTGATGAAGCAGCAAGTGCTGTTGCTGAGCCCGTCAAGGTTTGCTTGCCCATGAAACCATGTTCCTTCTCCTCTACCTGAACACAAGACAGAAAAGGAAAATTTAGTTGCCAATCATGTGTGAGAGGGGGAGGAGGATGCTTTGAGGATACTTTAAGTTTTGAATTGCTTAGCTCAGTGGCATGATTTCCTCTGCCAGTTGTTGGAAGGCAATATCTTCCTCATCCAGGGAATATTGTATTTTATTGTGCTAGGATGTCTAAAAAAAGTTCCTTGCCATGTGCGTACCAGAGAATGGTAACTTCGCAGAGGCCATCACTAAGAGTGGTAAAAAATGGTCAAGAGTGGTTGCATTAGACAGGAGTGGGAACAGAGAGTGACTGCAAATGGGTGTGAGGGATCTTTTTGGACTGGTGGAAATGTTCCAAAATTGGATTATGATGATTGTTGCACAACTCTATAAATATACTAAAATCACTGACTGTATCGTTAAAATGAGTGGATTTTATTGTTTATAAATTACACCCCAATAAAGCTGATTTTTAAATGCCTAAAATTTGGCATGTCTTGAGAGGAACCACATTTCTGCTTGGCATCTGGGCACCATAGCACTCCATAGCACAGTGTCAATTCTGAAAGTTCCCACACCTGTGTGGAAGTGCACAGGGAATACCAAGAAGGAGGCGTTGGAGGAAATGGGGATAGACAGAATCTGTTGCTGAGAGGATGCCTGTCATGATGATGCGAACAAAATGGCACCACTTACTGCAACTCAAAGTAGGCTCCAAAAAGTCAAGTGCATTTCTCTCCAGGGTTTGGCGGCTCACTTTCTGAACTGGCCTAACTCTTTCATTAGATTGACAACGATGACACTTCCTAGCCAGAAATCTTACCTTAGCATCTTATCCACCATATAGACTGTCAATTAAATGATTTGATCAAATGTACTATGCAGATTTGGCTAAATATAATTTTAAAAATCTTTCTATATAACATCATTATGGCAATGTAGCTTCATTACCATTTTTTGCTTATTTGCCCTATTTAATAAGGTGAATAGAAAATATTTAATGTGACAGGTTAATAAAAATTTTCCAACCTCTTAATTTGTGTGTGTTTTCTTGAAAACAACCAAGCATTTCGTGTTTGATTTATTGAAGCAATTGGTTGGCTTTGCTCACTTACATTGTTGAGAGTTGAGATAAAACTTCAGGACTCCCTCAGTAACTGGAGCACAGGAAACAATTGACACTGTTTCTTAATTCACATTGTTTCTGAGACATTTCCTACTTCCTAGTATAATATAGTTTTCCCATGAGAACCATTTACTTGCAAATGGTTAGACATGATACATTTCTCACTGGCACACATTCTGTGGGGAGAATCTCACTGTGTTTTGTAGTAGCTGAGTTGCTGCGTGTGTGTTGGGAAGGAGGTCCTGCTTTATGTAAAGATGCCTCCAACTTCATTCAAGCATCTGATGTCTTCTTTTGAATACTAACCCATTCACTTAGGTTCTGCGTTGCTTAGCCGGAATATCTTTCCTGAAGGAGCATATAATTCTTTTAAGCCTGCCAATTTAAGGAAACACCTCTGCCAATTATGGTGTTTTTAGATATACCCCGTAGGTTACTGTGGAAAGTAGTTCGTGACAGTTTGTATCATACATACTGTATGTACATGTATTTGGATGTAGATACGTGATACTGGCTGTGGCACTGCAAAGTTGTCATCAAGGAATACTTCCAGAAATGGGAAATAAAACCCATAGATGAGAAAATCTAATCTAATTTGCAGTTCAGAAAAAAAGTGTTCACATTATTTCTGAAATGGTAGTTCCTAAAATACAGAAGTTACACTGTATTTAAAGTGAAAGTAGAAGTTTTCCAATTTTAAAAAATGATGTGGAACTTTGAGTTTCTTTCTTTTTTGTCTTATTAGATTTTGTAAAAATAATACCACTTGTCAGTTTTGCAGCTCCTTCCATCTAGAGAGCTGAAAGCATTTCACAATCTTTTTTCCTCATGCCCTTCTCTTCAAGGCAATTTTTGCTGGGCTCGGTTTATTTTTATCATTGCAACAACCAGTTTTTAGAAACTTTTAGAAACGAAAAAAGAAAAATGAGAATGGCACTGTAGCTGACATTCATTTTAGCTGTTTCCTAGTGTGAACGTTTGAGTATTTCTAAAATCTTTTCTCCAAGTATGTCTTATTTTTCTCAGTTTGTCCCAGTTCTAAGTCTCTATTTTGCTGATTTGGTAAAAAAAAAAAAAAAGTTTTAATGTAAAGCCTTACCCCCTGCAAAATGACTTTTTGAACTTTGAGTTAAATCTTTGTTTTTGCAGCGCCAGCAGCTCCTTTTCCAGCAGACACTAACCCTACCCAGTACAATCATAGACTCATGTAAGGTTGAAACTGGAGGGGCCTCTAGGGACTACCCAGTTTAAGTCTCTCCTTCTAGAAATGATGAAGTTGAGGCCCAGAGTGGTTAAGAGATACATGCTTAAGGTCACACAGCTAATTGATGGCAGAGGTATGACCAACATGAAGGATTCCTGATTTCCAGTTTGATATTCCTTGGTTTTCCTAAACAAAAGTAGTCTATCTGGACAGAATTAGAGTAGGCTGTCACAGAGTCCTGGTGTCAACCACTAGCTTGAATTATACTGAAGCTAATTGAAAATTGGGAGGAAATTTTATTTTTCTAGAGTTTGTTAAATATAGGATGGTAATGTTGAATTTATAGACATTTTCTTCTGATCTGTGCATCTTATGCAATTTATCTGCAATACAGAATGTGGTTTGAACTGACTGGTCATTCATGTACCTTCCTTTAGGCCACCATACTATTTACATCGGAGTCCATGTGCCGAAGAGTTACAGGAGAAGGAGACGTCACAAGAGAAAGGCAGGCCACAAAGAAAAGAAGGAAAAGGAGAGAATCTCTGAGAACTACTCTGACAAATCAGATATTGAAAATGCTGATGAATCCAGCAGCAGCATCCTAAAACCTCTCAGTGAGTACTCTGAGCGTTGGTGCCTCTCTCTGCCTCACTCCCACATCTTTGAGAAGGACACCTTTTTGAATCCTGTGGCTAACGGGGAGGGCCACTGTAATACTGAGATGGTCTGTTCTAAAGGATAATGTCTGTGGAGATGCTTTGCTTGTACCAGCAGGTTGATCTAGAAGGTCATCTGGTAAGATTCTGAGTTGATCAGAAAAGGCCTGACAAAGTTTAGGCATAGCTGTGTATTCTACATTTTTATGTGTAATATTAATAGGGTTGTGTTACAGATGGTATTTATTTAACTATATCAATAAACAGTAACTGGAAGACTGAAAGAATCTTTTGCATTATTTGTGCTTAGAAATAGGTTCTATTGAGACAGTAGGTGAAGATGAGAGTGTATGTCTATATATTTACATATCTTTCCAAATGTCAGCATTACAGGTGACATTTAACCAGGTTGTGAGCCAGGTCAGTGATTTAAATAGGAATTGTGGAAAATCATCCTGTAAGAGAGGTCTGTAGAGTGACACAGTTATTAAGATGTTGGATGTATTAAATGTCATACAATGGATAAAAGTGTTGCTAAGAGCAGAACAGCAGGAGGTCAAAGAACACCCTTGGATTCGAGTGATAGGATAGGCTGTGTGTTTAGGTGTATATTTATGTTGCTTTTTGTTTCTTTAATGTGGAGAATATTTGGCTACATGGACCAAATATTGTGGCTGAACTGAGAATGAATATGTGCAGTAGAAACACATGCCAATTTTGGAAGATTCCCCAACAGGAGTTACACAGTGACAGCTTTTCATGTTGGCAGAGCTCTGTACATTCTTCATGTCTTTGCTACAGTTGCAGAAATATGGACCCTGCAATAAAATGCATTATGGATGGCACAGATAAAGATCGGGTTCAGTCATTGCAGGTGATGACAGGCCAAATTAGAATGAACAGCTCAAGGTGTTGAAAAGTGAATTTACAGAGTTAAATTAAATTGGGTGTGAGGCATAGTGATGTGAATTTTTTATAGTCTCACCGTTGGAACTGAGCAGGTGGCTTAGGAAGCTAGACAAGTGCGGTGCTGAGAGGAGCAATACAGGTGGACCATTGAATTAAAGACAAAAGCTCGGAGGAGAGCTTGAGATGGATCACGAAATCGAAATTAAAAGCATTGAAATAAATTTAAGACTTTGAAGGACCAGAAGGCAGGAGACTCAAGTTATGTACTTTTCACTGAAGTCCTGGGGGAAAGTCTGTCTGAAAGGGATCCTTTATATATCGATTAACGTAGTGGAGTCTGTTTTGAGAAAAGTCCTTCAAATGCACATAAACATGGCACAGTTAATAGTCTGGAGGAACAAAAGATAACATTCTCTTCCAAATAAATGACTACCGTTTATCTCGATTTACTCTGTATCTCTCTGTCAAGGCCTGAGCCAGTGTCAGGTGTTCTGTCCATTGTGCATGTGATTGTCTGCTCTCTCTTTCTCGTTCTCTCTCTCTCTCTTTCTCTCCCTCTCTCTGTGTCTTTTATAACTTGTCTTTCATTCTTCAGTTTAAGAACAAGAGTGCATCATCACTATAAATGTTAAAAAGTAAAGAGGTGCTTACCTAGACAAATGGGCCCAGGAATTTTGAGATTAAAATTATTTATCAGCTTTTGAGAAGGGCAAGGGAAACAGTGCCAGCAGCACTCAGATAGGTCATAAGGAATGAACAGATCAGGAAGATGCTGAGACCCCATGTGTATCAACCACAGAATACTGTTGCATTCTGTGGCATTTGGGGCCCAGTTTGAATACAGCATGTAAAATAAACAAGGCAATCCATTCTTTTTCCCCTCAGAGGTGTCTTCCTGGGGGAATACTGCATTATGTTGTATACTGGCTTTCTGAAGGGATCCTATGGAGAGACAGTTGTCAAGGACTAAATTGTTCAGTGATAGTAAAAAATTATTTATAAATATGCATTTTATAGTTTTGTTCCTGCTGATCAATAAGTTACACACTAATATGCCTTTGGCATATTTGATATGAGTTATCCAATTTAACACGAAGGTCCTCTTAGAAATTGCTGTATATCCTCAGCTGCTTTGATGGATTGGTAGTTAATTATTTGGTACAGTTCTGTTTAAAAGTCAGAGTTTTTGCACCTAGACATAGAAAGACGTTTAACCCCACGATTTTGGGGGAAGCCATGGGGCTCTGGCACCAACATAATGACAAAATTCTTGTGGGAAAACTGACTTAATGAAATACTTGCCTAGTATACTATTATTGTCTCTCAAGAACAGCCACATAACAATTTATGTTGTTCTGTGACCTGTGGTGTTTGAGTTGCTTATGTCCATAGACATATCATGTCCCATAGACAAGATTCCCACATGTGTCTGGCAGTGCATGATGTGATGCTTATACTTCTGAGAAAAACAAAAACTAAATAACACACATATAAATAGTAACTTGATGGGAGTCATCTTTGATTCTTTCCTTGCTTTTACCCCCATATGCAATCCTTCAATGATTTCTGTTGGTTCAGCATTTAAAATAGATCTGAATTTGTCTGTTCCTTTTCAGTTTTGCTGTTACATTTTTGTCCAGGGAATCATCACGTCTTGCATAGACACTGCAACAGTCTCTGCTTTTCAAGTATTTCTTCATGGAGAGGCACAATTGATCATCATAAAGTATAAATTGGACCATGTCCTTCCTCTGCTGAAAACTTCCCATTGTCCTAAGAATGAAACCTCAATTAAGCATCAGAGCCCAGTGTCTTTCTAGTCCTGTGATGTGCCATTCTCTCCTTGCTCACTTTACTCCAGATCCATTGATGTTGTAGTTCCTTGGTGGTAAAACCTTTTCTGCCTCAGGGCCTTTGCTCATGCAAACTTGTCTACCTGAAATGGTCAGCCCATTCTTGTCCTGGTTAGCTTTTCTGTTCCTTTATGTTCTGGCTTTTACATTTTACCTCTTCAGAGAGTCCTTTCCTTACTACTCTCTCTAGTGCAGATTCCCCTTCATTACTCTTTCTCAATGCCTTATGTTTCCTTCAGAATACATGTTTTAACACATGATTTTTGAGAGCCTACAGGTTTGTCTTGAGCTGACGCTAGATTGTAATCTCCATGAAAACAAAGATCAGGTTGTCTAGTTCGCTTTGTTATCTTTCGTGCCGCACAATGCCTGGCACATAGTATGTGCCTGATACATGTTTATTGAGGAGTAACTGAGTGAATGAATTACTACAGAGAAAGATGTAAGCATTGCTTTTATTGGTCTAAATATTTCTTACATCCTAGATAAGAGATCCAGCTGATTTTCTTGTTTTTAAGCCTGGCACATCGTGTTTATATTTCCCTGCCTTGCCTTTCTCCCTTGACACATAAAATCTTGTCTTCGCTTTTAATTATCCCACTTTGGAAAGGGCCTCATTATTTTGTCTATTGCCAAAGTGGGATTTTGGTCTGGGTAGGTAATTCCTGAGTGTATGGAGCTGCTTGTTAACCACAGGTGATGGATGAAACTGAACTGCAAGGCACATGAATTTTTCATATACACTTAAAAATGCTCACTATTCCACAGAGAACTCAGGCAGTCCCCCTTCGGAAGCCATATTAAGGTGGCATGAGCTGGCACCGTGGCACATGCCTATAGTCGCAGCTACTCCAGAGGCTGAGGTGGGAGGATCATCAGAGCCCAGGAGTTCGAAACTGTAATGCTCCATGATTAGCCCTGTGAATAGCTGCTGTGCTTTTTCCGTGGCAATGTAGTGAGACCCTGTCTCTACAAACACATGAAAGGGCATTTTTAAGAAGTAAACGAAATATCTTCCAGTATTAGGCACATTAAGAAGATGGCATAATTAACAGGTTCATTTAGTTTATAACCTAACGCTTTCTATTTTCTTCATAGCTTTGGTGTCAAGACCGGGTTTCTAAAAAATAAATGAGTGTTTGATTTTTACACATTTGGAGCTCTGAGGAGGAAGCGAGCTAGCTTCATATCCCCCTCTGAGCTCAGCAGCAGCTCCAAGTCCTTTCACAGCTGCTATTCCCAGTGTGGCGTCAGAGCTGGTGTCCCAGCTGGGGACACAGAGAAGGAAACGTGTGTGAGAGCGTGGTGCACTGAGCCACGGGGAGAGAGAAGCTGGGGAAGGAAAGCGAAATGGAAGAACAAGCAGGAGAGACAAGGGAATGAGGAGGTGGTGTGGAGTGGGTGGTTGAGAGAAAAGTTAGATTGTGCTCTTTCTTAAAAATAATCCTTTTGCCTCCTCCACTGTGCATTTTTTTTTTCTAAGTTAGCAGCTGCCATCCTCTGAGGGTTGCCCAAAAAGTGGGTGGGAAGGTGGTCCTGGCTGAGATAGGTTTGGACACACAGCACACCTTCCCAGACTAGATGGTTTTGGCCTCTGTGCCTCACATTTTGTTAGTGTCCAGGGATACTTATGGGGGCATCACAGGCTACTTTGTGACTGTAGAGATCCTGAAGATGTGTAAGATGGTAGGAAACAAAGCTACAAACAGAACATCCTGTTCAGCATTTTGATCTGATGTGTGAGATGTTTCTTGACAAGCGTGAACATGCGTTCATGCTTGGAGGTGCTAACTGCCTCTCACACACAGGTCTTGCCCGTTGTGGAATCATAGTGCTAGGTATGTCCATATAGACACTCATTCAGTCTTGTGGTATTCTTTTTTAGCTTTTTGGATGTGTACCAGAACTGACGGATTTATGTTAGTGAACATTGTTCTGTGAGCCTGGGACAATGGATGCTGGTTGGTGATCCAGTTATATTCAGGAAACCGAAACAGAGAAATGGGCAGCTGCTTTTGTTTGGTGCTTCCGGGTAAATGAACAGAGTAGCTTTTCATAAGAGCCAAGAATATTTGGTGTTGTGTCATTTGACTTCCCCTTTTCCCAGTGCACGCCCCTCCCAACCTGACCTCATACTTCTGGGTACATTTGTACTTTTTCTTGATTTTTAAAATGTTTTCAGGAAAGATCCTTAAT